CTATATTTGCACACATGGTAAGAATGAACAACAAGAACTGAATGTACGAGAAATCGAACCAATGCCACACACACGAAGGAATTACAGGAGGGATATACCACATAGATAATTCGCGGTAAACAACCACATGGGATATCGTGAGGAAATGGATGCACAGAGGAATGAAAACAATGCGCAAATATAAATGTTATATAGAAGATAAAATAATGGCTGCTTAAGCGTGCTTAGGCAGGTTCCTGCAGTGCTAAACTAATTAACAGGAAACAGGATGCCATCATATCAAAGTATATAGCTCTTTATTTTAATTGTTGAATGCGTTATGATACGTTATTTGGGTTTGATTTTTGAAAACTCGATCAGCTTGTCAGTAGATAGAGATTTCGGACGTTCAATGGGTAGGCCAAGGGCCCTATCCCATACAAGCGACGATAGCACACCTAGAGCTCGCGATACACCAAAGAGTACTGTGTAATAATTTGTTTCTTTCATTCCGTAAAACTATAAAGCGAAAAGTTAGACATAATTAGTCAGAGGCGGCCTGGAAACAAGAACGAAGAAGGATAGTTCAATACTAACCTGTAATAATACTCCACTGTGGGCATCTACATTTGGCCAAGGATTGGCGATTTTTCCCATGTCACCAAGTATCTTTGGCGCAATTTGATAAACCTGACCCACTATTTTGAACATATGATCATCCGGAAGATGCTTCAAGGCAAATTCACGTTGGCAAGTATATCTTGGATCAGTTTTGCGCAGAACTGCATGGCCATAACCTGGTACAACCTGGAATAACATGTGATAATCAAGCCCAGTGGACAAGATAAGACGGGGAATAAAATGTAGTATGACTTTTGAAACACTCATTATCTGGAATTTTCCATGAAATCATGGGGCTAAGTATAAAGATTAATAGGGCTACTGTAGGTTATATATAAATATTTTTCACTCCCGATAAGCCGGGGAATGTATGGAACATGAATTATGACGCTACAATACAGTGCAAGGGATAAAATAAATCAGCATAGGTAGAGTAGTTCGACTTATGGACTATGTTAAAGTCATAGTATGAAATTTCATTGCGTCAGACAGAACCAAAAGAATACAGCCGAAAATATTGATCGTCTCAAACTATGACCAAACAATTTTAACTTAGGGTGATAGCAAGATTATAAGTAGACATGAACAAAAAGCTTACCTGTCCAGCCTTAAGAGTATCTAAAATGTATTGTTTAACAGCGTCATCCGTAGGCGTTGAACCGATTTTATCGACCATCCTGTTGAGCCACACTAGAACCTC